TCAGCATATTTCTTCTTTTAGCTTCAGTCTTAAAGTTTGAGAGCAATTCTGAGAGTATAGAAAACTAAGTTAAACACCTCACTTACGTAAAGGAAAATCATGTGTCTTTTCTGTTCTGGGCCTTTGGAAGTCTGCCTGTTTCCCTGTAGGTTTACTCGGCAGCTTCTTTCCCTTCTACGCTGCTGCCTGGCGAGGCTGAGCTGCAAGGCTTAGGTGGAGACAAAGACCTTAGGAGCTATATTTTAGGCAGGTATCTGGAGGAACCAAGGAAGGGAAGACACTCAAGTAACTTGTTTACTATATTTTTTAACAAATTACTTGGTATTTTTGATTATTTGCCACATACCCCACTGTACAAGCACTTTTAAAACTATCTTTCTAGTTTCCTGACAGTTGAGTCGGTTGCATCTGCCGGGGTGCTTTTATGAAGCAGCCTCCTGACAGAAGATTCTGTATTCTCCCCAGAAGGGTGCAGTTAGTGATTAAGTGTAAAATTCTGTCCGGGCACATGATGGAACCACATTAAACTTGCAGCCCTTGGGCTATTTGACAGCTGTCTGCCTTGATGCGATATTTAAATCACTGTGAGGCTTGGAGTAGAAATACCAATTTGCAACCAAAACAGGCTTCTGAAGCATGAGAAGACAGACAAAAACAGCTCTAGACATTGCTTCAAAGCTTTTTGATGAGAAAATTGCAAATATCAGCACCTCTAAGCATAGAATATTATCTATTAAAATAGAAAAGTGAATATTCTCATAATATAATCTCTCTTCCACCCAAGGAAGTAAAATGAAATTGAATTAAGTTGAAAACTCTGAAAATAACCCTAACTCCTACCTACGTGCCTATAGCAAGATCAGATGATCGGTCATCTCGCTGGGTTTTATGCTCTCCCAGCATAAAACAGTGTGTTTATGGAGTCCAGACAGCCTAGTACAGTGTGTGTCCGTGGAAGCGGCTCAGCCTAGGTTACTTCTCCTCGGTTTCAGTGCAAGAGACTTTATCACTGGACTTGGCAATCCCCACATTCCTATTCCTTAATGTGAAAACGTCCATCTGGTGCCATCCAGGCCTGTCACTGCCCAGCGCCATGAGAACCGGGCTTCCTTTCTACAGCAATAGACATATACTTAAGGATGTTTATGAACTGTCAGAATCCTTGTGCATCCCTGTGTTGCCAGGTCACCTCTGGGTGTCAGGGCCAGCTTCAGAGCAGGGGACCTGTTCTTCCCCTAAGCCCTTGCACTTGGCTACATGCCCCACTGCCACCATCTTGAACTTATTAATACCTTTTTTTAAATAAGGAGCTCATATGCTCATTTTGCCCTGGGTTCCACAAATTAGGTAGCAGCCTGCTGGTCATTCTTGATGTCAGTTATGCCTACTACCACTGTCTGATAAAAACCTTCCTCTGCAGGTTTATGTCTCCTGAGAAGGTAGTGCTTTTTATTTTTGTGGTGTAGGGATTTGAACCAGAGCCTCACCTGTGTACCACGGAGCTGCCTCCCCAGCCTTAGTGTCTTTGTAAAAGGACTGGCTTGTTATTAAAATATTCATCTAGCCCCTCTTCCATTCTGCTTCTGCCACCTGTGGAGTCAGTGCCATGGAGGTGCTGGCAGCATGGGGTAGAGTTAAGGGAGGGGAGGCAGAGGGGCTGGGAAACTGGTTATATTGAGCACATAAGGTAATTGATTTGCATGTGAGTAAATGCCCTAAAGCTGAAGGCCACCTTTCTCACTGTCTGAAAGGATGTATAGGTGGCTGACAAGAATACTGGCACTGTTCATACTGGGATTACCAGCCTAGACATGTAGATTTTTAAATTTCTATGTAGAAATAATTACAAATGAGTCTTTGTGTTTCACAGGTAAATTGCACATTGTGGGTGCATATACACACATTTCTGAGCTGTGTATGGTGACAGCAGCCAGCGGCGGTGGCATAATGCAGGCTGTATGGTGAAGGCCACCTGTGGGCTGGGTCACCTTGTGAGCAGAGCAGTGGCAGGAGCGCTTCCATCACAGAGTGCACCAGGCCTGCTCATTGACCAGAGAGCTGCCATCTAAGGACAGGTCCCCAGTGAGCTGAGGGCCTCCCGTAGGCCCCACCTCCCAGTTTTACTGTTCTAGGGCCGAGCTTCCAATCCCAGTGGACCCTGGGAGCACACTCCAGCTGCTCCTTGGTTTTCTTTTGACCGTTCATAAGATCTGTAGTGATGTCCCACTTCTGTCTCTGATATTAGTTGTTTCTTCCCTATCTCTTTTTTCTTATTCTGTCCAGATGGTAGTTGATTTTATTGATCTTTGCAGAGAACCAGCTTTTGGTTTTGTTGATTTTTCTCTACTGATTTCCTGTTAGAGTAAGAAGGAAAAAATAAGTTTTTACTATTCACTTATATTTGTTTAATGTGCTTTTCTTTACATGGATCTGAGTTTCTTACCTCTGTGATTTTCCTTTTTGCTAAAGAATTTATAACATTTCTTGCAGAGCACATGTGTTAGCAACACATTCCCTCAACTTCTGTTTGTCTGAGAAAGTCTTTATTCCTCCTTTTTCCTTTTGAAGGATGATTTCACAGGACAGAATTACAGGTTAGTGGATTTTTTTAAAGAGATAAGTGAGATATTTTAAGTATCTCAGTCCACTGTCTGCTTTTTTATATGATTTCAAAAGAGATGTTATATGTAATTCTTAATCTTTGTTCCTCTGTAGGTAAGATATTTTCCTCCCTGGCTCCTTTCAGGATAGTTCATTAACTTTGCTTTTATGTTGGTTAAAAATGATATGCTTAAGTAAAGGTTTTGGGGGAATTTATCCTGTTTAGTATTCTTTGAACTTCCTGGATCTATGATCTGGTGTCTGATACTAACTGGACAAATTCTCAGTCAAAAATTTGTTTCAAATATTTCCTGTTCTTTTCTCTTTTTTCCCCTGTTGTTCCCATTATTCATAACTTAAACCTGTGTAGTTTTTACACAGTCCTTTGAATATTGTTGTTTTCTGTCTTTGTTGTCTTTGCTTTTCTGGTTTTTGAGATTTTTTGATAATGTTCTGAGATTTTGTTCTCAGCCATATCTATCTGCTGATAAGCCTTTCAAGGGCATTCTTCATTTCTGTGTTTTTGCATCTTTCTTTGTTTCCCATCTTTCTGCTTATATTCTCGACTCTGTTCTTAAAATGCTATCTTCATGTGCCCTGGCAAGTGCAAGGTCAAGAGTTTGGTCCTTAGTACCCAAAAAAGAAACAAAATGCATGTGTTCGGTGAGCTTCTTTGAAACATAAGTTAAAAGTGCTGTGGTCACAAGTTCATTGTTAATGAATCAACTGTATGTCAAATAGGCATCTTTTAACAGAAACACACATAAAACAAGTTATATATTAATCAGTTGAAAAAAGTGTTTAGAGTCTCATGAAAACCTAACTCCATTCTCGGAGCAATGTTTCAGTATTATGTAGCTCAGTAATTCACAGCAATTGTATTGAATAGTACTCCCATGAATAATAAGAATTGAATGTTATTTTTCAGGTCATGGTGCCGCTTGATTTTCTGAGATTAATTTCATGCCATATGTAACAGTGTTGAAAATTTTAGTGAAGTGTATTTATGTTCATATATGTGCTATATAGTTTATTTAATATATTTTTGAATTATTTATAAAATATTTTAAAGTTAAAAAGACATTTAGAAGACTTTACCTTTGGCTTATATAAAACAATAACACTTTTATTCAGTTTCATCTGATTACTAACTTTACAATAGGTTTAATTTTAAGAAATGATAGCTCCAAAGATAGAAATTCATTTTTCTAAAAACTAAACCATATGGTATATAATGTCACTCTCACTTGTAATGCCTGTGTGTTTTTGCTTTGTAGTGTTTTTATGAAAACTACCAGCTTCTAGAGCCTCATAGACTTACAAATAGCTCGTTAGGCTAATTGATAGCTTTTTGATTCTTCTGGGTGAAGAATATCTTATTAGAGTAGAATAGATAAGTCTGCTAATTGCATTTAGCATATGAAGGAATAAGTGAAAAGAAGAAAAAGATTGAAGTTGGTTCTAAAGGAAAATGAGGAGAAAAGATAACTGGCATATTTTTCACATCTTCTGGTTGACCAAGTATTAGACACAACAAATTGGAGATTTATTCTTCAAATAGGAAGAAGTGCCAAACATTTTCTTTCTTTCTGTTCTGCGTGTGTGTGCCAGAAATTGAACTCAGGACCTTGCACTTGCCAGGCAGATGCTGTGCCACTGAGCTGTGTCCCTCGCTTGCCAAGCATATTTTTACTTCGCACATTTTTTTCTGAGAGATACTCTAATATATGCTAATTATTTTTTCTAGAGATGGTGTTTGAAAGAACTTTAACTTTCAACTGAAGCCTTCTTGCTGCCCAGCACTTTATGCTATGTTAATGCTAGGAGGTAAATTTTTATCTCCTCTTGTCTTTAGACAAGCTGTTGTTATTTTAATGTAGAGTCATGTCTAATCTAGATTTTTGGGAAGTGAAGGAAAAAAGCGTATTATTTGAGACCAGTTACTGGCTATGCCAGACTTTTGCATTTCCGGTTGCTGTCATCCAGCAACTACATTAAAGAGTGTTTGTAAGCTGTAAAGTAGTGCATTAAAAATCCCTGTGTCACATCATTAAACAGATTGAACTGTACCAAACACATTTTATTTCATGTTCTATTTATTATAAATGTCTCTTCAGCCAAAAATTCATGGTACTGGGCATTTGTGTTTTCTGGTTTGGTAAAATGATTTCTGTTAGACGTTTCTCACCAAAACTCTGAGATGTTGATGAGAATTTGTTTTGTAAATTAGAAAACTGAGTCATGGGGATGCTGTGAACCTTCCTTCCTGGTCAGGCTCTTCGGCCTTCACTTTCCTGTCTGCCTCGGGTTTTTTGCTTTTCCCTCTGGTTAATATCCTTGCCTTGACTGCCCTGGAGAGGGGATTGTGTTTAGCCACTGCTGTTGTCTGTCTCCCACAGAGACATCCCTATGCCCTTGGTCAGCTCGGGAGTGGAACATGGCAACCTGAGAGAACTGGCCTTTGCAAGAATGAAAGACCTCGGGATACAGGTATGGGTCCATGCAGCTGCCAGACCATGTTACTGAGAAGGAAAGTCTCCCTAGACAAAAATCTCTGGTACAGTCGCTCTTCCTTACCCCTCCTACCAGTCAGAAGGTTTTCATGAGGCAGAGCCCACCTTCTGTCCATTTCTTCCCTTCTGCCTTCTCCCACAAAGAGTGGTAGCTTCGTCAGCATAGTGGTTGTTTCTGTCTGCTGAGATTCTCTACTATGTGTTCAACTCCTTTTTCTAAAACACTTTTTCTTTTGGAGTACTGGATATTTGGCTCTTGACTAGTAAATTATAGAAGAGTAAGATGTTGTTCCTCAAGAGGAATTAGAATCGTTGGAACAGGTAAAGGTCATGTGCTGGAAATCATCGTCAGACAGTGCTGTTCCTCCACGTGTACCTAGCTACCTCACCATGGCCACCCCTGGTGCTGGGGGAGGTGTTCTGTGTTTTTGAGACGGGATCTCGCTATGTAGTTCAGGTTAGCCTTGAACTTTCTGTGTAGCCCAGGCTGACCTTGAACTCTGAACCTCCTGGTAAAGATGCTACCCATGAGAACTAGACATTTATTGCTATGACTGAATGTAAGCTTTCAGACTCAATCCCAGCCTGTATAACAGAGGGACAGGCTTAGAGAAGGCAGGTAGGAGAAAAGACTGTCAGCGACCGGGCAAGGCAGGGACTGAAGGGCTGGGGACAGCACACAATGTCATTTGGGGCTATTAGTTACTCTAAATGCATTTGCTTTTTTTCTAGAACTGTATTGGGAGTGGTGGTAAAATAGACCAATAATGTTCAAGAACCTTATTTCTGCCATTAAAATAGCCCCAACCACCACCACCCCCAAGTAGGAGGATAGGAGCAACCAGCGAATGTTCACTGATACACTGACCTGCAGCCTGCAGACTACTGTACAGAAAGACAGCATCCATGTGTAGTGGGTCGGCGGGTCAGGGCTGGATGACCCTTGCTTGTTATATACTCTATTCCAGCAAAGTATTGTCTTGGACTTGGTTCCTGGGAAATGGAAATAGCTTTGTTTTATTTTGTTTTACTGTAGGCTTGAATCATAAGCTCTTACTTTGTTATGGAATTTCATACATATGTAACAGTTCTTCATAAATATGTTATTAGAGAAATGGCTTTCATGATATCAACTTTCCTACATTGATATTTTCTCTCTGGTGAAAACTCAGAATCCTGAAAATAATGTTATACGTTGTGGTACATTTAGAGAATAATATTCCATCAGACATGTAACTGAATGATATATTTTTATAATACATCAAGAATTTGCTTTCTACTCTTCTGCATACATGATTTGGGATTTTACTTTTGGAGAGTTATATACACTGGGCAAAATTATTTTCTAACTCTATGATTTAACATCTTTTATCCTCAAGATTATATTACATGTTGGTCTCTTTAAAATTCAAAATTTATTTTAAAAGCAAAAGAACTCAACTTCATAAATTTCTGCTTTCCCCATTATCAAATTTATTAAAGATAGGTTCCTTTTTAAAATTCAGTTATTTTACGTCAATGTAGATTATGTCAAAACTTCATTTTGAGCCCAGGGTTTAGTTTACATAAAAGAGAGTTTTAACTAAACATTGTATCAGTTACCAGTTTAATCACCAGGTACCTTTTTGGGTTTTTTGTGTTTGTTTTATGATAGTGTCGGGATGTGAGAACCAGAGAGGTTGGAATCCAAGAAATTCATCACAAAGTACGGCCGTACCAGGTTAGTTTCTTTTAAATCTTTGCCAAGGCTGAATCCCCTTAACTGCTTAGATGAGTAACTTGGAGCAGAGAGTAATTAAAGAGTAGGGACAGATATGGAGACCGGAGAGCTAACCAGGAAGCTAGCTGAACTGCAGAAGAGGACGGGTGTGAAAACAGTGTCTGCCCCCGCATTCCAGATCAGCAGTGTCCAACACCTTGTGCAGGGTGGGAAATGTCTGGGGGTCAAGCTGCCTGGTTCGGTAGCCAGTAGTTGCATGGAACTGTCAAGTACTTGGAATGTGGCCGCTACAAATAAAGAAGGGCTTAGTTTTCTTCCCCATTAATTAATTGACATGTGCGAACCACGTGTTAGACAGAGCTGTGTGTCTCTTGGTATGTCACTGGTGAGCTGCTGTCTACTGGTGCTGGTCATGTGAATAGATGGCATTATTAGCAGTGACCCACCATGCCATGAAATGTTCATTGCATGTATTGGGTTACCTTCCTCTGCATCTCCAGTATCTAGCTGTGTGCCACATGCTCTGGGGTATAACTCAGTGGACCCCATCTGGGAAACACTGAGCTGGAAATGATCTCTGAATCGATATGTCTAGTCTTATTTAATTGACATTTGATACATTTTGGATCTCTTGAGGAAAAATCAGACCCAACCCAGTTAATCATTTTGTCAAATTCTTACACAGTCCGGTTAGTTAGCAAATGTTGAGTCTTACTGTTGAGTCAAATGTTGGTCTAAATTGCTTACCTCACTTTAAGGATAATCTGCCTATCAACAACAGCCCAGTATCTTTTTTCCCCCTCCTAAAGCAGGCTTTAGTGGAGAAAATAAGTTTTTAAAATGAAAACACTGAATTTGACAATTTGGGGGCAAAAAGGAGTGTCCATAAGAGCTACCAGTGTGACACTATATGTACTTTTTATCTTAGAACAGTTCATGGACAATCAAAGATTTAAATACACAGAAGCATTTATGGCGCTGGATATCTATATAAGAATCTCAAGGTTAATTAAGTTCAAATATTTATAAAATCATTCTCCATTTGTAATGGTCCATGAATAAAGCATGAACTCTTATTTAATCTCAGTGCTATTTGAGAGCAGACAAGTAAAAAGAAACATAATTAGCAGTGATTCATTCTTTATTCCCAACTGAATATTAGCCTCAATAAATACATACAATTATAGAAATAATTTTGAAAAATTTATGTCTTGTGGCTTTTTATTCAACAGGTTGAGCTGGTGAGGAGAGATTATGTTGCAAACGGTGGCTGGGAGACGTTCCTGTCCTACGAAGACCCTGATCAAGACATTCTGATTGGCCTCCTGCGGCTGCGGAAGTGCTCGGAGGAAACCTTCCGTTTTGAGCTGGGGGGCGGGGTGTCCATTGTGCGAGAGCTGCACGTGTACGGAAGCGTAGTCCCCGTGAGCAGCCGGGACCCTACTAAGTTTCAGCATCAGGTACCCTGCTTTTGTTTCTGTTTGGCTTCCAGTTAAGCAGTGACTCATAGTGGGAGGAGAGAAAAGGAATAGGTGAGGAGGGAAACAAAAAGAGGGGAAAATGGGGAACGGAATACAGAAACAAAAGAATCGATGTTTTTAGTCATCGCCCATGTTGTCTCTCCACCTTGCTGCCTTTTGGGGGTGATGGGAAGGACACAGATGTAGGCACGCTGAATATATCAGACTGAGCCATAAGAAACCGCTCTCTAGAAAGTCAGAAATGGAGCTTGCTTTGGCAGCACATAAACAAAAATTGAAAATCAGAAACCATCTAATACTGGCAATTTTACATGACTCAATATACTGTGGAATCCAGTAAGACGGTGTGAAAGCACTCATAAAATACTGAAGTACTCCATAAATGTAAACTAGTGTGGAAGTAGAACTCTGAGCCCAGACAGCTTAAAATGAGTAACTTTAAAATTTCAGGCAGATGTGTTGAGAACATTAAGGTGGCTCTGGGGCAAGCCCCAGAATGGATGTAAGACTCTTGCGTGGTTTGTAAATGCCTTTAGAAAGTGGAGGGGCAACTTAGAAGTCTAGTGCCACAGACACCTGTCCCCTGAAGATGGCCTGAAATGTAGCTAAAATAAGACAGCTAAGTGAGAATAACCCCTTGCTGTGACAGGACTCCATCACCCAGAGTACTGTGTGGTGGCTCTTGCTGGAGAGTTCAACCTTTTTTGTTGATCGGCCAACATGAAGTTTTGATACAAATTTTTTTCCTTTTTATAAAAAGATTTTTGTCATCCCCTTTAACAGATTTTAGAGGCTACTGAATTACAGCTTGTGATGTGGGCCTTGCTCAATGGACTTCCTCCCCTTCCTAATCCCCAACTCCTCCGTTTCTCCCACCAGGGCTTTGGCATGCTGCTGATGGAGGAAGCAGAAAGGATAGCTCGAGAGGAGCACGGATCCGGGAAAATAGCTGTTATATCAGGTAACCCGGGAGGGCGAATTCATGATCCAGTCTCATTTTGAGTGTGCTACAGTGGTGCCATCCAGCTCAGTCCTCTCTTGCCCCTTTCTGTGATTACTGTATTCTTTACTGGGCCGGGCTCACACAAAGGACTTGTGCCCATCATTCAGGACCCGCATGAAAGTAGGGTGGCTGGCTGGAGCTGTGAGAAACTCTCCATCTGAGCGAGAACCAGGCATCCTGCTCTGCTGTCTGCCACGCTGCCACCATACTTAACTCCTCACTTGTGCTTTGTGCCCAGTTACTGCCTAAGGAAATGGATTTGGAGGATATGGATCTAAAAAGGTGGAAACCAGTAGAGAGATCATCGCTGTTGTTCAGAAAATGAAAATAGAACCTCAGTCCCAGTACAGGATGTTAAAAGGCAGATTTCAGTACTGTTCTGTGTGACAGCATTCCTAGGGAACAGCATTCCCCTGCCCGGGAATGCAGTGTGGGGAGGGGGGTGATACTAGCCCTCCTAGGGTCCCTGGCTCAGTCTGAAACTTAAACTGGCAAAGAGAAATTGACAAGGGAAAAACGTGCACATTTATTTAATGTAAATTCAGCAGCGCAGGAGCCTTTATAAGGAAATAAAGACCCAAGGAAACAGTTAAACCCGAGTGATTTTAGACTAGGCTTGAAAAGAGTGAGAGTCTCAGGAGATATGATAGGACAGCAGAGTATGAGCTAAGAGTGGTGAGCGAAGCCATCCTGGAGACCCACCCAGTGTCTGTCCACTCTCAGAGACAAAGTGTCCCCTCCAGTAGTCTCAAGAGGGCACCTCTCCCAGCAGGGTCACAGAACCCTCTGCAGCAGAAGAGAAAGAAGGGTCCAAGAGTCCTTCCTGCCCTGCCTTCTCAGGATGCCCCCAGCTTAAGGCTTGTGTGTGCAGCAGACAGCATGCTCTCCCCCTGGCTAGAAGCTGCCCAACTCCTTACCTGAGCCCCGGGCTACCTGCGGAGGTGGCCAGGAAAAGCAGTTTTGGCCGAATGGGGCAGGAAATGAGACGTACTGCCTTCGCTCCTAACCCTTTAGTGTTGTGGCCCTACCAGAATTGTAATTTCTAGCAGAAAGCTTAGACCTGAAAGCCAAGATCAAAACACTTTAAATGGATTTTAGCCCTCAAATTTGTTTTCCCATCAGACTACTACATTCCAAAAGCTAAACTATACCTTTTGTGAAAATAATGTTTTCTAAAAATTCAACTGTATCTAAAGTTGAAATGAGTTTTTTTAGGAAGCAGTTGATAAGTTGTTGCTATTCAGTAAATCATTCCACATACTCGGGTCTTAATGAGTATAATTACGAAAATGTAATCACCCAGGCTCACTTAATCAATTAGACTGGGCCTGAGTTTTGGTATTAGCTTTATATATTTTTCCTTATCATCTTTAGTCCCACGTAGAACAGGAAACTAAATGAGGGTCACCTGACTGGTACAGTATCTATAATAAGCTTTTACTTCTCAGGTGTATAACCTGTAGTTGACCCGAAGTAGCAAGAAAGAGCCAGGCTGATTTCAGACACTTTGTACATGCACATCTGTGTAAGCCTGATAACGCCTGAAGTTTTCATGGCCTCTTTTGCCAGAGCAGGATCGGCACTTTCATTAGGGAACTTCTGAGACTGTCCTATGCTTAGGCATCACTTGAAGAGCTTGTTAAAATGTGGATCCTGACTCATGACATCAGGCTGGGGCCAGAGCCTACGTTTTTAACCAGCTGCTGGGTGACACTCAAGATTGTCTTCAGACCACATTTGAGTAGCAGGATCTTAGTATTCCTTCCAGATGTCCCTTCCCAGTGGTTGCAGGAATAACTCTCTATGGCTCTGTCAGTACCACACTCTCAAAGTCTGGTGTACAGTCACATGATTTTCCAGTGTCTGCGAGGACCTAATCAGTTCTGAAACTGAAGCACATCTGTATGCCATCGTTGCTGGTTTTTATTTCCTCTGCCTTCACAACTTCCATCTCCTCAGAAATGCTGCATGCAGGGGACCCCTGACTGGCCTGAGGTCATAGCCAGTTGCTCCGACGGGCCTCAGTTTCTGCTTTTCTGAGCAGGGCATCTTTCTAAGTGGAAATCAGCATCTGTCCCCTTTCTAGCTTGTTATCATAATTGACATGATAGCTCAATTTTAGATCATCTGTATGGAGAGTTTTTAAAATAACAAGAGGCTTTCTCAGTCGGGAAGAACCCTTCTCGTAGCTGAGTAGTACATCTGCATTCTCCACTGGGTGCTTTCTCTGTGGGTTTCTATGGGAACAGCCTCGGGTAGGGTCTTGAAACTGAAGTCAGTGCTTCTTTGGGAGAAAGGACAGGGTGAGTGTTACTTCTTTCCACTGGCCTGGAAGCCCCACCGTTGCTCTTTACTGAAGAAACCACATAGGACCTTGGCTTTCTGTTTGAGTCAAGCCCTGGGCACCCTTCAGATGAAAACCACCGAAAACATTTGTTCTGTGTTTGTTACTGTATTGGTAACAGTTTTTATTTTTTCCTTCCATGTTTATTTTCTTCGACTTCAGTTTTTCTGATTTGAGTACAGTGGTGCATGTGTGTATATGTGTGTATATGTGTGTTTTAATTTATTTTTGTAAAAAGTCAATTATCCTATGTATGTCCTAAACCTGAAAATCTCCATGTGACATTTGTGGTTTTATGGTACTGGGATGTCTGTAGGCTGCTTTTTATGAACAGCGCTCCATTCCCCATGGCATACAGGGACAGAGACTGGGCAGTGGTCAGGGAGCCAGAATACCTTTCCCACTCTGCTAGTAACTGTCCTTGTGATCAAGGGTCATTCTGCTTGACCTCCATGGGCCTTCATTTCCTTTTTAAATGTACGTGGGTCGGGTTATCTTTCACAGTTCTGATACCTAGGATTCTATCCCTTGAAGTCTTAACTTCTTTAACTCTTATGGCCATTGGGGTTTTCCTGGTTATATTTTAAGTAGATTCTTATCTGATGCTATGGCTCTGATGGTAGATTGAGTTTGATGATGAAAACGGTAACGATAAAGTTTCCTGTAGGTGATTAATCCTGTCCGAGACTTGTGGAGACATAGTAAGTTTGGTCACAAATGATACTTTGGGACCTAAGTGTCCTCCATTTTTCACTGGCCTTGTTTTCCGTTTGTAAGTCCATCCTTGTCCTGGGTTCCTAAGGTTATGCACAGTAGTGACCTCGGTGTTGCGTCCTAGCATGTCTAGCAGCTGAGTAAGGGCGAGACAGGATCATTTATCATCTCAGTTACCCTTCCTGGAGGAGTAAGGCTTGTATATAGAATTTTAACTTGTGTTCAGATTCATTATGACTTCCTGTCATCTTGCCAGTAGGTTTTGTCCCTTAGATTTACTACTTTTGTTTCTGCCTCTAGACAGTATTAACTCTATAGTATATCTGATTTGAATCACCAGTCAGAAAGACTGTGTATTCTCATTTTCTCTATTAAAAAACAAACTTTTTATGTCTTGCCACTGTATGTACACCTTATATATACATACTATATGTTTTATAGGTGATTACCCTTTTTAAAACCAGAACTACATTTACAGCTACATAAGAAAATTGAAAATGTCCTCATTTATCAGAGTCAAATTAAGAAAGACCTAAGTTTATTGAGTTTTTTTCAAAGTACATGTAATTGTCCTGGGACTGTGTTTTAAAGTTGACTGTCAACTCTAAATGTGAAGAGTTTTAAAACAAAGGGAAAGTAAGTATTTAGCTGCATCAGCATCAGAATGACCAAGTGTGCCAAGAGGCAAACAGGAAAAGCCTGAGGTGGCTCGCTGTCTTCTGGAACATTCAGACAGGCTCACAGGAGTGGTCTGCCTGCCACAGGACAATTAAGGTTTCTCCCTGTACTACAGATTATTTCTCCACTTAGGATAATTGCTTTACAGTAAGAAATCATTCTTTTTCTTTGTATAAAAATGGATAAATCAGTGTTTAAAGAACAACCAGGTAATAAAATAACAACACATCGGCTGAAAATAATGTTAATCACTGCTGAAATACCTAAGCAATGTACTCGTCCTTGTAAGTCCAAGCAAGAGTGAGTCGCTCAGCACTTTACTGGTGTCTCTTCACAGTCCCCTTCTGTTTACGAGTAACAAACTGTATTTATTTTAAAATGCTACTTATTGGCTTGAATGATGAGCATTCTTTCCTTCAGACCTGTCAAGATAAAGCTATTTCTGTCCTCCTCCACGTATGGTGTAAGGTGCGAGGCATTCTACGGTACAGGCTAACCACAACGTCTCAAATGCCATCACTCATGGTCACCATGGAAACCAAAGATCGCTGATGTCACACTGCCCATACCATTTCCAAAAGGGCAAATAGAACTGTCGACAGCCGCTATTTAAAAAGCCATTTAACACCCCTAACAAAATGAGCATTTTTATGTTTTGTTTTTGGCAATTTTGGCTAGGTATCAGATTTAATCATGTTACTGTTTCAGTTTGCCAAGCTAATTACTGCACAGTAAGATGAACAGCTATTCCCCAAGCTCCCCTACTACCTTCGTCATAAGCAGTATGCTATTTGTGTTCTTTCAAGTAGAAAATTAATATGGCCATTGGCCAGGACTTGTACAAGGCTGATAGATCGCACAATGGTGAGGAGAAGTGAGGAAAACGTCTGAAGGGTTGGTGACAGAAACCAGTGAAGTCAGAGGCCGATAGCCATTTTGTTTAAATCTATTGAAAAGCCCAGGAAAAGGAGGGGAGAAGAATTTAAATAGAGGGCAATTAAACCGTCACCGCAGAGATGGGCGCTGGAGATGAGATCACTTTTAATCGAGGTAGTCAGAATTATGTGGCCCTAAAGCTGTATCTGTAATCCCCAGCTGTCAAAAATCAGTGTGCCTGTGCCTTACATAACACACGGTGGCTTCCCAGGACTGAAATTAATGGGCTCGTCCCCCAGAACCGCTGATTAATAAAGTCACACGTGGGCAGAAAATAGCAGTTGTT